CCTGACTGAATGAATCTTATCAGGTCAATGTCTAGCGGTTAGAAAATTGGTCTTCTAGTTTCAGGACTGGTTTGCCATGAAGTCACGTAGAGATGACTTCAGCACCCACTCATCCATTAAGTTACACAGACATCCACTAAGATCACAGCCAGACACACAACGCCTAACTTACATCATCGCTTCTCCACTCACTCTCTGTATAACCTGTGTGGATGTAACCTTGTCAATAATAAGAGTTTCCTCTAAATGTTTATCTACCGAACTTGGGGCAGTACTGGGCATTGTTACTGCTGCTACTGCTGCTTCAGTTTTTGCTGATGCTACTTTGTCTGTTACTGCTGATGTTGCTGCTTCGGCAGTAGCTACTGCTACTTCTGCTGGCGTTGTGGTGTAAGCAGTGCTTCCCTCACCCCAAGCTCACGGTCTACAAAACTGTTCACCCTCACCCCTGAAATTCTGTGATAAATGATCCGTCTTTCACCTATTTTAGCAGCGGTAATAACATAGATCCAGAGTTTACCGTCTGACGTAAACACTGCCACGGGGATAATGTGTCGATTTTTACTTTAAAATTAGCCAAATCCCTCACTGCCCCTTCATATCGGTCTCTCATTCTTCCCTTCCCATCTTCCATTTAATCCCTTCTCTTTGTAAATAATATAGAATACCGAAATTTGTAAGAATTAAATGCATTTTGTTATGAATAAAACTAGATATTATTGCAGGAAGGTGATAACAATAAAATGAGAAACGTAACAATAAAGTGATAAGTATAAAACACTTAAAATCAAAAGAATAGGGAATACACAGGTATATGATAGATAACTCGTGGAAAAAACACTAAATACGAAATGCAGTCATTTAGGACATGTTTATTAGAAAAGTTTCAGTCCAGGGATTTTGGACACTTGAAATGTAAATAAGAGTAAGAGAACACAATCTTGCATATTCGGGACGGCACCAGAGAAGCTCGGTTTAACAACATGTTGTTTGACCTCTGCTTAATAATGATCGTATGTGCCAGAGTTTGAACGTTCCTATAATTTTGGGCTTTTCGTGGACAGGCTTATAAATAACGGCATCTATGGGGATTAAGTTCCGTGAAAATCCTGGGTGCTTTGCTGAAGTCCATGAAATGTTCCTGTGTGTCCCTGTGAAGCACACAAGCTTTGTTGAGATCGTCCCTGTACAACCTCTCATGGCAAAACGTTTTTTAATAAATATCCTGAGCTGTACATTAATGCTTTCTTGTAGACAAAGTTCTCCCTGTTTCTCCTACTTACTTCTTTTCACAGTAACCACAGGGGATTGTGAGGACATAGGTGTGGATGTAGGGTGTAGTATTGTGGGAGGTTACCTAGTGAGATCTCTGGTAGATGTAAATTATTGCTTTCTTGTAGACAAAGTTCTCCCTGTTTCTCCTACTTACTTCTTTTCACAGTGACCACAGGGGATTGTGAAGACGCAGGGTGTGGATGTAGCATGTAGTATTGTGGGACGCTACCTAGCGAGATCTCTGAAAGATTGAAAATATTACAGTAGCTACGCGAGTCTTGTTCACAGCCAGAACTCGTGTTATGTTGCTAGCTACACTGTTGCTAAGGAGGACTAAATATTCTTTGTTGAATCAGTGATGTTGAATCATGTTGAATCAGTGATTGGCTCGGTTCTCAGTTTAACGAAAAGGTTTGTGAAGGACGTGTGTAGACGTGTATCTCCTCCTCTATTAATCATTCCAGGGTAAAAATGATGTACTGAAGGTAATTAACGGATCTTAGCCGAGTATCAATGAAGTTGCCTCTCAACTTCCTTGGATCAAACCTGATTACCCAGCCTGTCGTATTCCTCAAGCATTTTATGATCCTAGTGAACAATTTAACACACCGACCTTCTACCAACTTGGTAGAGTGACATCCCAAAAAGGTGAAGAAACACGTTTACCATAATTCATGCAATCGCTGATGATAATAATAATAATAATAATAATAATAATAATAATAATAATAATAATAATAATAATAATAACAATAATAATAATAATAATAATAATAATAATAATAATAATAATAATAATAATAATAACAATAACAATAATAATAATAATAATAATATATAATAATAATAATAATAATTAATAATAATAAAATAAAAATAACAACATCATCATCATCATCATCAACAACAACAACAACAACAACAACAACAACAACAACAACAACAACAACAACAACAACAACAACAACAACAATAATAATAAGCATTATGATAACGTTTGGTATTGAGATGAAGGGCTGAGGATGCTGAAGATTAGCGATGCTGACTGAGGGTCTTCGTAACCCACTAAAGTTATATTGAATCTCCAATACATTGTGTTTGGAGAAGTTACTACTCTATCTAACCACTAGTGTACTCACCTAATTGTGGTTTGCAGGGGTCGATTCATAGCTCCTGGCCTCGTGTGTGTGCGTGCGTGTGTGTTATTCACCTAAATTTGTTCATCAAGAAGTGTTTACGGGGGTTAAGACTCAGTTCCTGGCCCCGCCTTTTAGACGGGCCTCTTGGGTCTAATCATATCTACTCTTGAAGATACGTTTTGATATTCCCTCACAACTGCCTCATCCAAGTCATTGTTGGTCCTCTTAATTCAAACAGTTTGTCCCTATCTGCCTTCATTTCTCCTTAAGATTTTGATTATCGTAATTATATCTCTCTTTACAACTTCACTCGCCCATCTTATTCTTTACCTTCACTTTGTCTAGATTGATCTCTAACAGCTAATTGTTTAGGCAGTGCTACAGTTTACTGATGTCTCCCTGGAGAGTAACGTTCATTACTTTTCTTAATATCCCTTTCATTAATCTTACATTGTCGGTAAGCAGTCACACACAAATGAGTAGTTTCAAATTTAGGTTGGATAAGTACATGAGTGGGAGGGGTTGGATTTGAGTGGGACTTGCACATCGGAGCTTGTTTCTTGGGTGGCATTGAAAATTGGGTTGGGCAAATGTTTTGTTAGTGGGATGAATTGTAAGGGACCTGCCTAGTATGGGCCAACGGGCCTTCTGCAGTGTTCCTCCTTTCTTATGTTCTTATGTTCTTATATCCTCTGGCAGTCTTAATACTGATACTTGAGGGACCCCCACTCGTTACTTTCTCCATCTTAATATCCTATCCCATACTGCTACTCTGCCTTTTGTTATTCAGGCAGCCTTGGCCTAGTGGAGCACTGTGCCCTATAACCCTGCCTCTCTCTCTACTTTCACCACTAATCTCTGGTGTGGTACTGTATCAAATTCATTCTTGCAGTCCAAGAAGATGCAAGCCACCCAACCCGGTCTTTCTTGTTTCATCTCTGTGACTGTCAGCTACAACAAATATCCATGCTGATATTCTACACTGAAACTTCAAAACTGTCCAATATACTTTTTTTTACTCCCTCTTTGATTTTTTTTACAGTATTCATATTAGAGGTACTGATCTGTAATTCAGTTCCTCTTCTCTGTCACCTTTTTTTTTTTTCAATATATAAGAATCACATTTCTCTTTATCCATTTTTTTGTCATGTGCCCTGACTGGAGAGTGTGGCTGATGGTGTTTACTGTTGGGTCACATTGGTTCTGCTCCTTCCTTCAGCATCCATAGAGATATATCATCTGGTACCATTGTTTTGTCTACATCAAGGTCGCCATCACTACTCCTGCCCCCGCAGAACAAAAATGGAGAATTAAAACCAACCCTGCAAAATCCAAAATCACCTACTTCAACTACAGGAAACGCGAACCACCCCCTCCAGTAACACTCAGGATAGCTGATACCCACACTAACATCCCTGTCTCACGGACAACCAACGTCCTAGGAGTACTTCTAGACCAAAACATGCGAATACACTTACACATTAACCAGAAGCAAGCCATTGCATTCAAGGCCCTATCGGGGCTATTCAAGCTAAGGCAAGCATCCATACAAACGAAACTGCACCTATACAAAACCCTCATTCGTCCACTAATAACTTACTGCCCACTAGCCCTCTCCCTAGCAGCTGTGACAAACCAACGTAAATTACAACGCATCCAGAACAAAGCCTTACGCTGGGTGTTTAACACCTGCTGGGATGAATTCATCACAAGTGAGTCCATCCACGCCCGTGCAAACATCCCTGCACTAAACGTGTGCTGGAAATTGTTTAGCGACAAACAAATAGACAGACTAGAGACCAGACATGACTACTGGACCTCATACTTAGATGACGTACTACGCAGACCCGCAAACACACACAACCTCTTCTACTCTCTACTAGCACCTGACCCAATTCCTATATACAAATAACCTTGCTAAAATCTTGAATCACTAACCTGTAACTCACAGGTATGGACCTTTAATATCGCCCTTGTACCTGCGATCACGCTTTGTCGCCCCCTCCCCCCAGTCCCCAAGTTGCGCACGACCTCCTGGATCGCCATCAGCTCAGCTACTGGGTTAAGCCCTGGTTCTTTCCCTCTTACAAAAACCCTTCCTCTAACCAACCTATTCTTCCTCTATCCACACTTCCCATCTCACCCCTTCTTGGAGTCTTACCTAGAATCTATAGCATAGAATAGCCCCCGCAGCTACCAGCCTCACCACTACCCTCTGCCCCACCTTTACCCCAGTTTCACTACTACCATACCCCAACTACTACCACCACCTTCACCACTACCATACCACCACGTTCACCACTACCATACCACTACCTTCACCATCACCATGCCACTAACTTCACCACTACCATACCACCACCTTCACCACTACCATACCACCACCTTCACCACTACCATACCACCACCTTCACCACTACCATACCACCACCTTCACCACTACCATACCACCACCTTCACCACTACCATACCACCACCTTTACTACTGCCATACCACCACCTTCACCGCTACCATACCACCACCTTCACCATTCCCACCACTTCCACCACAACAATTAACCCTAGTAATGCCCTCATCTCTTGCAGAATGCGGAGACACTCCTCAGTACCTGGGTGCTGGCAACAGCAGCGGGCACCTAGCCTTCCCTGAGGCGAACTGGGAGGCACACAGTGGTACTTGGCAGCCCTACCAATTCTACCCTACTGCGGTCAAGTGCACCTGGGTGCTCAAGGCGCCGCCCGCACACGTTTTGACCGCTGGATTCCTTTTCTTTGACACCGAACAAGACTACGATTACCTTACAGTGAGTACCAGTGTTGTATTCCCAAGCCAACGCCGTCTAGAGACAGGGACCCTCTCCTTCAGAGGCTCGTCAGACAGCAGTGTCCCAGGATGGTGGTGGTGTTAAGTACTGATAATAACCATGTTGTTTGGTGGTGGGTATTGAATCGTTAAGAAAGCGCTTAACGCTTGACCCAAAGTTATCGAAGGAGCAGAGAAAAGGATTATTTCTGCAGACCCTGCAAGCAGACAGCCCCTCCTAAAGACCACGAACAGTCCAACTCAGACAGCCCCATTGTGGAGAAAATAGCCTGGATAATGCTGGCGTCTCCTTAGAGATTCGAATCATTTAAACGTATATACGGTAATTTACCCCATCCAGATCCTCATGGAACCGGTGGGGATCGAACCCATGGTAGGTAAGTCCAAAAACTCTCGGGTTAGTGCGTGAACCACTGGGCCAGCTGGCTCTAATAGGATTCCTCTTGCTAAGTATATTTCTATACACCATAGAAAGGCTAGCATAGGCCATCACTGCAACCACAAATGCAGGTTCTTACAGACGAATCTGTAATTAGTTTGAAATTGTGTTATTGCTATTATGTGATTTTAATTGATAAATATACCATAAAAACATACTTTCGATTACTATAGTGCTAAACAGCTGATTATACTAGACGTCAGTAAATCCAAAATATTCTAGAACCCCCCAAAAAATAAAATATCAAAATATCTGAATATTCCATTACTCAAATATATGTTTTACATGAATTTAGGTCGCCAAAATATTTAATGTAAATCGGAAGAGCCTCGTTCCTGAAGTCGAGAACTTAACGACCAATGAATTGCACAGTTTCAGTGTTGACTGCGGTACGTTACAAGTGATTAGCTCAGTATATGTTAGACATAAAATATATGTCAATAAACATTATTGTATACATTATTGAATACATTAATGGTATATTATAAAGTAACCCGAAACAAAGATGTTTCGGTCCGATTTGGACCATTTACACACGAAATCGTAATGACACGATTGCAAACAAACCATACCACAGGTGGGGATAGAACCCGCGGTCAGAGAGTCTCAAAATTCCAGACCGTCGAGTTAGCCACTGGCTAACGCGACGGTCTGGAGTTTCGAGACTCTCTGACCGCGGGTTCTCTCCCCGCCCGTGGTATGGTTTGGACCATTTACGTAGTCACATTAACAGAAAAGAGTGAGGGAGCCGGTATATATAGTATCAAATACATTAATGGTATACAGTATCGAATATGACAAATGCGCAAAATCTGGGTAACTTTGAGCCTCATTTTTGTCCAGTGATAGAAAGAATATAAGAGTGTTGCTTCCTCTCACGTGCAACAGTAGAGGCCGGGGAAGACAAGTCAGTGATAAACCCATGGTGGACACAGGTCAGTGCCCGGCACGAAGACTTCACTACCAATTTATTACACAGGATCTGAGGAACATTGCAACAAGGGGTGGACTGACACAACTGTGACACACACACTCACACACACACACATACACAGAGAGGATACCTGCAGGATATGATAAAAGTAACAGAGCGAGGGAAGGTGGTGGGGAGGAAGGATCAGGCAGGTGATAGGATGGACGTGTTGGTGAGACCCTGGAGCGTTAACCTGTCCAGTGCGTCTGAGGGAAGGGAAGTGCCAGGGAGGAGGGAGGAGGCAAGGAAGAGGTATGAAGGCAGGGAAGGAGAGGGGAGGCAAAAAAAGGGAAAACATGGCAAGGAAAGGAGAAGGAGGTGCTAAGGAAGGGAGAAATAGATAGATAGATAGATAGATAGATAGATAGATAGATAGATAGATAGATAGATAGATAGATAGATAGATAGATAGAGAAAGAGAGAGAGAGAGAGAGAGAGAGAGAGAGAGAGAGAGAGAGAGAGAGAGAGAGAGAGAGAGAGAGAGAGAGAGAGAGAGAGAGGGAAAGAGAGAGAGATAGTTGAAATATAACTTCAGAATATCTCTGGACAATCACGTGATAAATCTTACAAGTCAGGCAGCCATGAAGCTAATGGCTCTCAGGAATACCTCGCACCTGGTCGACACTAGAGCCAGAAGTGCACTCACACTTTGAGTATGCATCACTGCGTTGGATTGCCTGTTCTTTACCGTCCCTCCTCCTTCCCTCCGTCTCTTCTACACCCTCTAGACAGAATAGAGAACCTGACTGGAACCTGCTTGGAACCTGCCTGGAACCTGCGTGTAATTATTTGTCGTTTCAGCAAAGCCTTTAATACCGGAGAGGTGTAGGTGGCTCTACTGTTAGGTAGAAGGATAATGTTATTTTAGTATTACACTTGATTTCACTTTGCAGACAGAGAGAAGACAGCATCTATACCACAAGACGGACAGCAAACAGCAGCTACACTCTGGCTGCACCCTTTAGACCATCATTTCCTCTGAGATAATTCATTCCTAGAATAACTTGTTCGTCCAGGATAAAAGCATTTATGATAAAAAATCAACTGACTAAATGAAATCTCTGGCCCACAGATTCCTCCATAGTTATCCTGTTTCCTATTTAAATGCTTAATAACAAAAAAATAACAAAGGTAATGTTAAAGACGGCTTTCATATGAGCCGAGTGAGCCGAGTTAGGTAACACCTCTTAGTTCGTAAAGAGAGATAGGAACCCTTAACCTAATTTCTGTAAAAAATTGCTGTATAAAAAGAGAGAACGAGACTAAGAGATTGAGAGTGACTTTGAAAGTTAACTCGCTTCACACTTCGAGGGGAAAATTTTTATTGGTACACTAATAAGAGAAATGTTTTGTCATGTTTATAATATTTTTGAGAGGCTTACAAGGTACACGCCAGATGCTGGAGAGAGAGAGAGAGAGAGAGAAAGAAAGAGAGAGAAGGATAGAGAATAGCTTGTCAATAAAGCTAGGGATCCTTAACCTAACCTTGTCAAACCCTGTGTAAATTGAGAGAGAGAGGAGAGAGGAGAGAGAGAGAGAGAGAGAGAGAGAGAGAGAGAGAGAGAGAGAGAGAGAGAGAGAGAGAGAGAGAGAGAGAGAGAGAGAGAGAGAGAGATCATTTCACTAGTCATCTGTTCAACAAAGGCCTATACACCATCACCACGCACTCACCTATTAATGTCTGTTACAAAGATAAACATCTGTAAAGAGAGGGGGAATAAAAGTCGCCATGAATAATAAGACATTCTGAACACTATAAATATACGGAACACCGAGTGAGTTTCTGACTGGTGGATCCAAGGGCAGTGCTGGAAGCGTTCACAAAACACTCACACGAGAGTGTGGGTGTTGGGTAAGTTATGGGTGTGAGACTACGACAGATATACCCATGGGAAGGTAGATAGGTGACAGGGAGGAAGGTGTGTCTGTGAAGGATGCCACCCAGGGAAGGTTAGTGAGTGCCACTGACTCGTGGAGTGATGGATGACTGGCACTGCCGGTAAGGTGTGTCTCAGTACCTGAAGGCGTGGAAAGAGAAAGAAGAGAGAGAGAGAGAGAGAGAGAGAGAGAGAGAGAGAGAGAGAGAGAGAGAGAGAGAGAGAGAGAGAGGAGAGAGAGAGAGAGAGAGAGAGAGATTTCAAAATAGGCATGTATTTTCGTTCTGCTATTATTATTATTATTATTATTATTATTAGTAGTAGTAGTAGTAGTAGTAATAGTAGTAGTAGTAGTAGTAGTAGTAATAGTAGTAGTAGTAGTAGTAATAGTAGCAGTAATAGTAGTAGTAGTAGTAGTAATAGTAGTAGTAGTTGTAGTAGTAGTAGTAGTGGTAGTAGTAGTAGTAGTAATAGTAGTAGTAGTAGTAGTGGTAGTAGTAGCAGTAGTAGCTGTGGTAGTAGTTGTAGTAGTATAATTATTACTACTAATACTATTATTATTATTATTATTGTAATTATTATTTTAAATGGAGAAGCGGTAGTTTTAGGAGTGAAACAGAACACTGGAAATGGGACGGTAGTAAGGAAGTACCCACAGAAAGAGATGATCGCTCCAATTCCTTGGATCACGAGATCTTCACTGGCATTCATGCACTCCAGCGAAGTGCAGAGATACAGGAGTTGTTTGTGTAAACCTGACCAGAATGACTTGATCACGACTACATGATAGGAATAAATTGAATGGAACTTCTTTAGACTTAACTGGTACGACTTGACCAGAACGACTTGGTCAAAACGACTTCAGAGCAATTTGGTATGAAATCTCACTCCAAGATGAACATTCTGAAGGTGAGAGGAACACATACACACACGCAGGAGGGTCAGGGGAGACATGATAACGATATACAAAATACTGAGTGGAATAGATAAGGTGGACAGAGACAGGATGTTCCAGAGATGGGACACAGAAACAAGGGGTCACAATTGGAAGCTGAAGACTCAGATGAGTCAAAGGGATGTTAGGAAGTATTTCTTCAGTCATAGAGTTGTCAGGCAGTGGAATGTCCTAGAAAGTGACGTAGTGGAGGCGTGAACCACACATAGTTTTAAGACGAGGTTTGATAAAGCTCAGGGAACAGGGAGAGAGAGGATCTAGTAGCAATCAGTGAAGAGGCGGGTCGAGGAGCTATGACTCTATCCCTGCAACCACAAATAGGTGAATACAAATAGGTGATTATACACACGCACACACACACACACACACAAGAGGATTCTGAAGCAACAGCCATGACTAAGGGGATCATCAATTTACCAGCAGGTGTACCTTGACCACGACAGAACATGAGAACGACAGAATCTGAGAGGATACATAGACGTAAGGGGCAGGAAAAAGAGTCAAGGATAAAGACAGGCAGAGAAGCCCAGACTCGGGAGGACTAGCAAACACGACCTCCCTCAGAACCACCCACAGAGCACCCTCTATCCTGACAACCGCATCACAGCCAAACAAGTTAACCCAAAACAACCCAACACCCCATCACAAACTCCACTTTCGACAACAGCCTCCCATAGTATCCTGCCAAGTCTCCCACTCCCCCAGCTCCAACAAAGCCCCCAGAACATGGTATTGT